TTTTTTTTTTTTTTTTTTTGCTGCTGGAGATTGAACTCAGGACCTTGGGCTTTCGAGGCAGGCCCATTACCACTGAGCTAAATCCTCAGCCTGACCTTGATTTCTTTTTGGTTGGCAACCCAGTTTTCCTGTGCTCCAGTTTCACCATCTTCCCTTTGTGTCTCACTCCTCACTCACTTGTACTCCAGAAATTTTACACAATTATTTCCTTGCATTTTGCTTCCAGCCTTACAGATTCCTGAACCCCCCAGTGCTCCCACATCCCATTTTTTCTCCCACTTGACTTTCCCCTATGTTGACTTCCTGCTGTGTACCCCAGCTTCTGCCTGTTTCTCTTGCAGATGGCCCAGCGATTTCTCCTGAGGAGGTTCCTCGCCTCCATCATCTCCAGGAAGCTCCCTCAGGGCCGGTGGGCACCGCTCACCTCCAAGGCCCTGCAGATCCCACCGTGCAGTCCTGGTGGCCTGACAGTAACGCCCAGGGCAGCCCGGACAATATTCACCACCAGAGTGTGCTCCACAACCTTTAACATCCAGGATGGACCTGACTTTCAGGACCGAGTGGTCAACAGTGAGACGCCAGTAGTTGTGGATTTCCATGCACAGTGAGTAGTGAGGGTCAGTGAAGGACTGGGGTCTTCCCTATTCAAGTATTTATTAGTGCCTGCTAAGTCTCAGGACTATATGTGATGCTTCTCATTCGTAGACTCATTACAAAGACCGATAAGACCAGGCCCTGCTCTTAAGAAGCTTGCAGGCTGGTGGGAGACAGACTAGTAAACAGTCTCCAAAACTGACCGTTATTACAACTGGGAAACACCTGTGTTCTGATATCTCACTGTCCAAAAAGCTCAGACTAAGCTGCTTGGACCTAAGTTTTTAACAATATGCCCATAGTATTATCCGTGTGTACCAGTTCCTGGCCTGACAGATAAGTTGATTTTATTTTGATGTCTTACAACTAAAACTGCGGGGTGGGCTGACAAAATGTTACCAGGTGCACCATGTATATGGACAGGGGAGGCTGTAGGAGGTCCTGTGACCTGATTTTTTAAATCAGCCCTCTTTTTTTCCAGACCTTTAGGCTCTGGTCATACCCTACCTACAAAAAAGCCAGACAGACCCCCTCATAAGGAGAGAATTTAGGAGGAGCAGTGTCATCTGTTAGAAATTGGGAGGTTTCTGGGCAAGGCACTGACAGATTATTTGCTTTCCTTTTGGTTCCATCTCTGTCACTGTGGGTAACCTATTTTATATTCTTTGTTTTGTTTTGTTTTTTTGGTACCGGTGATTGAACTCGGGACCTTGTGCTTGCAAAGCAGGAAGTGGAACCACTGGGCTAAATCCCTGTCCCCCTATTTGATATTCTTGAGCTCCCTTTCTTCCCTGTAGTTGAAGATAAGGTCTCGCAGACCTGTATTTAAGTGGGTTTGTTGATTGATTGAAACCTCTGAATAAAAAGGGTTTTTGTTTGGTTTGTTTGTTTGTTTTTTGGGTTTTTGAGACAGGGTCTCACTATGTAGTTGAGACTGACCTTCGAATTCACTATGTAGCCCAGGCTGGTCTCAAACTCACAGAGATCCTCCTGCCTCAGCCTCTCCAGTGCTGGGATCACAGGCGTGCACCACCACACCCAGCAGAGAAAGGGTTTTAAAGGCTAAGAATAAAACAGTAGTTGTCAGCAGGGATTTGTAGAAGACAGGTTATCCTGCCCTCCTCTTGGTGTGGTGATAGGGCAACACCTCACTTTATTTAACATGGAAAGGAGTGTAGTTGGTTCATCCACCAGGCAATCCTTGGTGCCACATTCAGAGATGACAGCTCAGCATCAGTTCTGAAATAGTGCTCCCCTGCCTCCTGCTCCCTGCTAAGTGGGGCTCACCCGTGCCCATGCAGTGTGAACGGGGCAGTGACAACAGTTGACACGGCTAAGGGATCACGGAGTAACTGAGAGGTGATGCTCAGAGCACAATTTTGGGTTACAGTCTAAGCTCTGCTGTCTTGCACAGGTTTCTTAACTCACATGGGCCTCAGTTTCTTCAGATGATTCTTTCTCTTAAGAGTTCTGTGCAGTAAGAGCTGCGAAGGTGCTGGCGCAGGCACTGGTACCTGTAGAGACTCTTCCCATTGGCTTCCCTCCCTTGGGTTCTGAGTCCACGAGGTCCCTGTGGGTCGAGGAGGATTCTGGGGATGCAGCAGATGGGGTGGTGAACACTGACTGGGCGCATCCTTTCTCTCCTTCCAAGGTGGTGCGGCCCCTGCAAGATCCTGGGGCCAAGGCTAGAAAAGATGGTGGCCAAGCAGCGCGGGAAGGTGGTGATGGCCAAGGTGGATATAGATGACCACACAGACCTCGCCATCGAGTATGAGGTATGGATTGGCAGGAGAGACACCGGGCGGGGAGTGGCGAGGTGACCCAGGTGCAACGACTATAGGAGATGTCATGGGGACCACCAGGTAGACACTAAGGTGTGTCCGGGGTTTTTCTAGACTTTAGGAGCTTGGAGAGCTTTGCAGATGTGACTGTGTTCATCCTCAGTCACTTGTCTCTCTACCGCCTTTAGGAGGTGGTTGTGTGACCCAGGCCCCAGGTCCTTCTTGGCACCAGGACGTCGATGCATCCCTACTTGCTTCATCCATCCACATGTGCACTCCAGTCATTTATGAGCCCTGCACAGATGATCCTTGTCCCCAAGCCACTGTTGGTTAGTTAAGGGAGAATGACAGGTAGACAGGTCATTTCAGCATGGGGTGAGAAGTCCTGAGAGGTGAGGCAGCAGAAGAGGAAGAGACTTTCCTGGGGGAGACATCGCATGAGAGAGACCCTCTGAGCAGCCCGAGGCTGCACGGAGAAGGCACTGCCATCCCAGCTCTCACCGGGCTGTAACGTCTCATGCAGTCGGCTGGTTTGCTCAGTCATCCAGCAGATGTTGAGTGAGAGTCCTTCGGTTTCCAGGCATTGTTACTGGGGCAAAGGATGTGACAGTGACCAAAACTGACAAACTCCCTGCCTTCATAAGGCACATGTATTCAAAATGCATTCTGTGGGCTGGGGATTTAGCTCAGCCATTCCGCCACCTGCCTTGCAAGCGCAAGGACCCAAGTTCGATCCCCGGTACCAAAAAAAAAACAAACCAAAATGCCATTCTAGCCGAGCATGGTGGCGCACGCCTGTAATCCTAGCACTCGGGAGGCTGAGGCAGGAGGATCGCTGTGAGTTTGAGACCAGCCTGGGCTACATAGTGAGTTCCAGTTCAGTCTCAACTACATAGTGAGACCCTGTCTCAAAAAAACAAAACAGAAAATGCCATTCTGTAGTATTTTAAGTCAGGAGTTAGCAGCTTTTTCTATAGGACCAAGTTTAAATATTTGAGGCTTTGTTTGTGGTCAGCAGTCTCTGGCCTGAGCACCGAGCTGTCCTTGTCACCATAAGCAGCCTTGGACAGTGAACACACAACAGAGCTGAGCTATGTTCCAAAAATACAGCGACATGAATATTTACAGTGCCAAGCCACAGGCTGAGGCCAGGGTTCACTGACCTCTGCCTTCGATACATGTTCGACCGTCAATCATCAATGCTGCAAAAATTTTAGATTTTAGAGCATTTCAGATTTAGGGATTTTTGGATTAGGTACTCTTGGCCGGTTAAGTCTATGTAAATGCCCTAAAATCTGAAAACAATCTGAAATTTAAAATACTTCTTCCAAGCATTGCAGGTAAGGGAAACTTGACCTGTTATAAGTGCTGTGGAGAAAAGAAAAATCAAGAAGAGGGTGTGGGAATGTTGAGTTTAGGTTGAAGAGTTTCCTTTTTAAAAGGGTGGGCGGAATCCAGGCATGGTGGCACGTGCACCTATAACCCAGCACTCTTGGAGGCTGACACGTCAGCAAGACCCTGTCTCAAAATAAAAAGGGCTGGGGACGTAGCTCAGTGCAAAGGCCCTGGGTTCAATCCCTTGTACTTGAAAAGCAAAGGTGGGCTGAAGAAGGCCTTACTGAGAAGCTGAGATGTGAGCATACTGAAGGGATCATGAGTGAAGCCTGCGGGTGTTTTGAAAGAGTTCAGGACATGAAGGCCCTGAGCTCAGGAACCTCACAAGCCAGCAGGGCCCTGTGCCTAGAGCAGGCGATGCCTGGGGACGTGGGGCGTCCTATGGGACGTGGAGATCATTGCAGTTGTGCCTGAGTGGCGAGAGTGAGGGATTGAGTGGGGAAGGGGAGACAGGTAAGCAGGGGAAGCAAACCAAACTGGATATTTTCACAGCTGTGCTGAAGATGGGACTGCTGCAGAGCCGAGGTCCATTAATAGGGACCTTCGGGTGTTGTAAGGAAACTGGAAACCAGGCGTGGGTGTTTAAAACTTCGACGAGTTCATGTGAAAATCCAGATTTCTGTTTGGTGTTTTTCGTTTATTTTGGCACTGGGGATTGAACTCTTACAAGGTAGACACGGTGCTGCTGAGCTAAATCCTCGGCCCTCCAGATTTCTCATTCTGTTGAAATACCGTGGTCTGGCCAGAGTGAGCTTCCTCCCCTTACTCCTCCAGGTCCCAAGTGTCTGCAGCAGGGCCTCTTCCTTCCAGAGGTGGAAGCCCAGGCCTCGCTCTGGACAGACTGGCCCGAGTAGAGGTGGCCCCCCTCCAGTCAGTCTTCTCAGCAGTGTCCGGGGTGGGACATGAATGGGGAGGTTGGAGCGGGGTGGCGAGAAGGGAGATTACCCAGAGGAGACGAGGCTTGGGCAGTGTTGGGCAGACAAAGCCACCTGTGACTACTGCAGCTGACAGCGGGCTGGCTGCTGATGGCAAGGCTGTCCTTGGGGCTCGATGGCCAGGGGCTTGGTCACACGGGGCCTTCGTCTAACAGTTTGTACACCCCCCAGCTTCTGCGCCTTGTGACATCCCATACCTGAGGCCACAGTAGCTGCAGCAGTGAAGGTGTGACTTTGAGTAAGTTTAGGACTGTGACCTTCCTCAGGGCTGTGGGCAGATGTCCACACTTCCTCCTGACATTGCCAGAGACTCAGCTTTGCAGACCTGCCTCAGCCAGGGATCTGGTGCAGGCGCACAGGAGAGCCCACGTCCACCGGCCGGGCTCGCATAGGTGGTGGGAATTCCCAGGTCTTTCCCCCTGCCTTCGAGGGGAGCCTGGTATGGGGATGATCCTGGAAGGCGAGGGGTTCTGGTGGGACCTTGTCCCACTGCCCACTGTCCAGATGATGCTCTGGTCACACAGAAAGGCCTTGGGGCAGCTGGGTCGCTATCACCTGCTCCCAGCCTCCTCGTTTTGCCAAGCCCTGGGCTTCTCTCACTACAGAACTGAGGAAGCTTCACCAGGATTCTCCCTGGCCTGGCCTCCTCCCCACTTCCTTCCTTACCCTGGCACCTGTTCTTCCTGAAGAGAGCCTAAGGAAGAAGTTTCCATTGAGAGACCTACACACCTCCTGGGACAGCTTCCTCCGGGGCCTCAGGCCTCTTCTCAATGTTGGAAGACCTTGTTGGGGAAACTGCTTTAAATTCTCCTAGGGAATTGGCAGCTTCTCCCTAGGCTGTCCTGACAGCCCACCCCTGGGGAGCCTCCTTCCTCCAGGGCTCTCCTCTGGGCCACTTCATGCTTCAAACAACCCCTGCCCAAGGCAGAGGGAGGAAAAGTCCCCTGGGCCCTGGGACTTCAGGCCCTACCACCTCCTTCCTCAGACCCGGCCTGGGCTGGCGGGTACAGAGCTCTGACTCCCCATCTTCATTCCGACCATTCGGATGGATCAGACCAGCCCCTCAGGCACCAGCAGGCAGAGAGCAGCCAAATGGGCCCTGAGCCTGTCTCCTCTGGAGTTTCTCCTTCTTCCTCATCCTGGAGATGTGATCCTTTTATTTCCTCCTCTCGCAGAAGTGAGTGCCCTTTAAGAAGCTTTTGGAAATGCACCTAAAGTGAGAACATGGGTGGAAGTCACTGCCCTCACCACCCAGTCACAGCCACTGTCACCCCTTGGGGTGGCTCAGTTGATTTTTTTCTTACTGTTCTATATAATGTGATAAACAACTCATTGACTAGTAAAAGCACAGTATTCTAATCATTCCTATTTCCCAGTATCTTGAAAATATTCAAGTTTGCAAACATGAATATGGGATAGTGTCACAAAGTAGAAAATAGCATTGGGGCTGTAATTCAGTGATGCATTTGCCCTGAGTGCACAGGTCCCCGAGTTCAATCCCCAGCACTGCAAAAGAAACAAAACTGAACAACCAAACTGATTATGATTCCATAGGTCCAGGAAGGGCCGAGATCCTGCATTTCTAGCAAGCTCGCAGGTGATGCCAGTGCTGGGGTCCCAGACCGGATGCAGTGAAGCAAACCCTAAAAGCCCCACCCTGAGCTCCTGCTGAGGGGCTGCCCTTTGAAAGCCCCATCTCCCCTGCCATGCTCGGCGCAGGTCGCTTGTCAGCAAATGTGTCCTGAATTCTGTCCAGCGTCACAGTGTCAGTGTCGTACTGGAGGCTTTCGCTGCATAGGGAGTCCCTGCACTCCCACTTCATCTTTCCAACCCACCCTGCCCCTTCAATCCATGGCCACCTCTGATCCTTTTGTTGTTGAGATTTTATGTCTTTTTTTCCCAGGCATGGTGGTACATGCCTATAATCTCAGCTCTTAGGAGGCTGAAGCAGGAAGCTTGTGAGTTCAAGACCAGCCTGGGCTGTGTAGCAAGTTCAAGGCCAGGGTGACTGCATAGCAAGACCCTGTCTCCAAAACAAAGGGCCGAACAGATCCCCCATATGCTCAGGGCACCTTCGCAGCCCCTGCTCGTAGCGTCACCCACCTGAGGGACACGTCACCACCCGAGGTCTGCAGTGCGATTAGGGTCACTGTTGAGCACCTGTTCATCGCTGTCTCCCCCACGCCTGTAGCCACTGATCTTTTTACTAGCCACAGCTTTACATTTTCCGCAATGTTACATACTTGGATTTTCTTTTTTCAGTAACAGTTTCTCTAAGAGCTCTTGTGTCCAGAAGCTTTTCCAAAATGTTTGGCATTTCTCATTTGAAGCATGAAATTTTTTAAAATTAAATTTTATTTTATCCCATTCCACCCCTTCTTCTCAAGCCCCCTCCCTATGTACAAAAGCTTTGGGGCTGGGGATTTAGCTCAGTGGTACCATGTCTGCCTCACAAGTATATGGTCTTGAGTTCAATCCCCAGTACACCCCCCCGCCCACCAAAAAAAGCTTTGTTTCCATTTTTTCCCTTCTGTTTTCACTTTTTTTCTTGTTCCTTCCTTTCTCCCTCCCTCCTCCCTGTTCCCCTTCCTATTTGAACATTTTCTTCCTGTTTCTCAGTATCTATTATACATTTTAGTCCTTATTTCCATTTGCAGTTTCTCACGCCAGAGAAACAATGTATTTAAACGTGTGTCCAATTCATTTCACTTAAGTCTATGGTCCCAAGGTCCATCCATTTAGCTATAAATGTGTGAACCTTATCCTTCTTTACGGCAGAGTACTACTCTATTGTATTTAAAAAAGCCAAGGCCAGGGCGTGGTGGCGCACACCTGTAATCCCAGCACTTGGGAGGCTGGGGCAGGAGGGCCGCTTGAGTTCGAGACCAGCCTGGGTCACATAGTGAGTTCCAGGTCAGTCTCAACTACAGTGAGACCCTGTCTCAAAAAAAAAAAAAAAAAGCCACATCATCTATCCATTCATTGGTTGATCAGCATTTGGGCTTTCCAAGGTTTAGCTGTTACAAACCATGCCGCTGTAAATGTGGGTGTGCATATATCACTGTGGTGTGATGAAGCGTGAAATCTGTAACGCTTCTCCACATATTCTTCACCCTACAAGGTCTCAGTATTTGCTGCTTTGCTCTTGGGCAGAAGCAGAGCACGGTTTGATGTCTGTCATGGACAGGGAAGTCATCAGCTCTAGTTCCAAATCCTAGCTCCAGCATGTAACTCGCTGCAACATCTAGGGAGCATCACTCTGCCTTTGAGCCTCAGTCGTCTTGTGTCTGAAATGACCTTACTTGAGGCACAGGGTGTAGCTTGGAGGAGAGCACTTGCCTAGCATGCCGGAGTCCCTTGGTTCCATCCCCAGCATCATAAATGAAATAACCCTCCCCAGAGGCAGAAACTTAGGAGTTAGCATCATCCTTGACACTTACTGTATGTGACAAGGTCTTTTCTTTGGTGTTATATTTACAATTAGCTAAGAATGTCACCAGCGCCCTAAGACAGCGCTGCAACTGTCTTTGTGCAGGTCCTTAGCAGAGTTAACACATGGGTGAATCAGGGCAAAACAGAAGAAGACCAGCCGGGGGCACTGAGCTTGGCGTCCTTGCCGGCCAACTCTGGTCATCGGGAGAGAGCTCACTCGGGCTGCAGGCGGCTTGTGTGAGCAGAAGGCCATGCAGCAGGTTCTAGCACATTTGGCTGCAGCCCCTCCATACCCTTGTTCCCGCCAGATCTGAGAAAGAGGCTGGGCTCTGCTCCATCCCTGCCTCTCATGCACCCGTCACCTTTCCAGAAGAGTGAAAAGGACCTGTGCACTCCATTGATGGCACTCTTCGCTAGCACCCAGCTGGTAGCCACACTCAGGGGCAGCAGGGCCCCGACCCCTGCCCCAGATCCACCCTTTGGCCTTGATCCCCCTTCCAGTGGCCCCAGCTGCGTGTGTGTTTAAGCTCAAGCTTCAGAGAGCCCCTTTGACCAGTAATGACCAGACCTTGGATGCCAGGAGAATACATCCACGGGGTGGGACTTCACCATTCACCATAGTTCTGGTGGAAAACCAGATCCACTTGGCACTGGTGAGCTTCTCAGCCTGCTTAGAGAACATCTGAAAAAGACCACTTTTCTTTCTTTAGGTGCTGGGTGTTAAACTCGGCCTCCTCACGCTAGGCAAGTGCTTCACCTCTGAGCTCTAGCCCAGCCCAAGAGCACGTCTCAAACAGTGGCATAAAGTGCAATTAAAGAGGCAAGATGAGATGGTATCTACAGTGTGAAACTGAAAGCCAGTGGTTGCAGTTTCTGCCCTGTCTATCCAAAGCTGCCAGCTTTGAGGGGCCCACAGTGCCGCTGCAAGCCACTAGGTGGCGCACAAGAACACCAGATGGTACTGGAGGAGCTTCCCCGGGAGCCATGTGCCAGGCCCTTGCCTTTTCTTACCCCCGCCCATTCCAGAATCTGACATGGACAGAAACCAGCGGGGGTGTTCACGGTCAGCTGAGTACCTGCTGCTGGCACATAACCTCTGAAAGGTGTCAGTTGCCACCCATATCTGCCCCAGAGCATAGGCACTGTGTCGCCTTACCTGCATGTCTGTCCGCAAAGTGCCTATCAGGAGAAGGCCCGGGGCCTGCCACACAGTGTGAGGGTTGTGAGACTGGGCCATAAGGACTACGCTTTCTTTGGTGCCTGACGTGTGCAGGTCTTGAACCCCTGGATGTGAAGTCTGGCCTCCAGGCCGACTCAGTCAGGGCAGTATTTCAGGCTAAGGACCGCGTGGGTTTGTGTGTCGTTCTCGTTACTTTGTACTTATCTTGTGTGTGAAGAAAGTCTGTGTTTATCTTGTTCTGTTTATCCAGTTTTCTCAAGTGCCAGGCAGGGAGCCCAGACAGCGGGGAGCACATGCCAGATGGGCCTGGCCTCGTCCATGCTCTGTGTAACCTATACGAGCCCTGCTGAAGCCAGTGCCTCGCAGACCAGGAATGTTGCCTTTCCCATCCACTCTGGCCCTAGTAAATAGACCTTGGATCACGTTTGGCCATGTCCATCCCACACATGATCCAGTAGGAGCCTGTGTATTTTCTGGACCCTGTTAACCATTCACAGCAGTACTCAAGTGGCTCTCGTGGGGCCCTCTGTAGCTGCCATTTGTTGAGTGCCCACCATGTACCAGGCACGGTGCCAGTCCTGGGCTCAGATGTGATTTGCCGTGTTTCCTGTAGCCTCCCTGCTGCAAACCCTGAGACTTGGAGTAATGGTAGCTGGCCAGGTTCACCCAGATCAGGTTAGTTGAACCTGAGCCCCTGACCACTTGGTATATGTGTGACCCTTTAATGCCTAGGCCAAACCCTCCAGGTACACATTGTCTTCCCTGCTTTATGGAGGAGGCCTTGGGCTCAGAAAAGCAGCATGACCTGGCCAGCAAGCAGCAAAGCCAGGATTCCCTGCTGCCCCCAGCTCCTCCCAGCCCTGGCCCTGGCCTTACAGCTGCAGCTGTGAGGGTTATTTTCATCTCTCCTGTCATTCCAGCCAAACCACTGGGCCAGTGAGTCAGTCGTGTGGTTGGTGGAAGAGGGTACTGCTGGGAGCTTGCAGTGGAAGAATTTTCTCCGGCGGGTACCCCAAAGGGAGGGGCCTCTTTCCTTTGGCCCCACCCAGTCACTGCCCTGGTTGAGCCACGAGCCTGCCCCATAAAGGCTTGGCAATGGCGGTGGAGAAACGTGCACCTCCAGATGACTTGGACCCCTTGTCTCGTCTGCCCAGGTGTCGGCTGTGCCCACTGTGCTGGCCATCAAGAATGGAGATGTGGTGGACAAGTTTGTGGGCATCAAGGATGAGGATCAGCTGGAGGCCTTCCTGAAGAAGCTGATTGGCTGACGAGCAGGGAAGAATCCTTACTGCCCTTGCCCTCTGAGACCCCTGGTCCCGGGGAGGGAGCCTGGTAGAGCTCACAGTCCTTCCAGCCACCCCCGTCTGCTCCCTGGGACCATGCTTTGAGACCAGCTTCCAAACACGGAGACGCTGGTGCTTCCGAGCTGGCCAACTGCCAGTGGCCATCAGAGGAGTGGTGGTGATGCCAACCTGGGACATCGCCTCCCACCCATCTCCTTTCGTCCCCTCCCTCCGAGGCCCACGGCAGTTCTCCCCAGACGCTAGCAAGAGCCTGGGGCCAGCCTGCAGTGTGGCTCTCCAGGCAGCAGCAGTTGGTGCTCACTTCTTGGTCCCCTCTGATACAAACCCCGAGCCTGGCTCCTCAGCCTGCTGCATTTGTCTTTCCTGCTGCTCTTTTGTAAAAACAAAAAGGAAAACAAAAGCTAAGTGAGTGAGAGTAATATATAATCCTCTCGTTTTTTGTAGGTCTGTAATAAAGATCTTTATGTGATCTCTTCCGCCTCCGGCTATGAAGAACAGACCTTGGGGGCCCTGCACTCAGATCCCCCTTAGCTGCCCCATCCCTAGAGCCGCCTCCTTTCCCCTCCACTTTCCCTCCGAGGCCCAGGACAGAACGGCGCTGGGCTGAGGGAACCGTGCAGCCCCCTTGACCTGCAAAGCTCCAAGTGCCACCTTCCTCGCCACTGGCTGGTACCGTGGTTCCGGGAGCAGGAGATGTAACTGAGCAAACCAGACCAATAAACCTGGGGCTGGCACTGGAAGCAGCTTCCATTCCATCTGGGCACTGAGCACAGGGACACTGCTAGGCTCCATGGCCGTCCCTCTGCCCTTGGCCACTCCACCGTTCTCTCCCTGAGCAGGCCTCCTGTTCCTAATGCTCTTGTCCCTGGTGACTGCCATTTTTGGGACACCACATACATCTTCATTCCCTCTTAAGGCCAGAGGGTGCCGTCCACGTTACCCAGACAGGGACCGAGCTCACATGCTGGTCCGCCTGATCCTCTGGGCTCTCCAGTGACTGCTCCTGGCCACTCTCAGGTGCCGGACCTTCCTTCACACTCTTCCTGCAGCAAGTCTGGAGCCTTGGCAGCAGCCTGCACCTTTACATGTCCTGGTTCCCTGCTCCCCTCCATCCAAGAAGGCCCAGCCTCATTCCCAGGGCCAAGGGCTCAGTTGCCTCTGTGAGCTACCAGCTCCTTGCAGGTCGTGGGTACCCGATAACAGGGCTGTCCTGACACTGGTCTTCAGTCCGAGGGCATATGTGTCATTCCAGTGGCTCTCCCTGTTCCTGTTAGGACTGCCTGAGGCTTGAAGTCCACCCCAAACTGCCTTGGGAAGGCTGCCACTGCTGATGCGGGGGAGGGCTGGCTCAGAAGAGAGACCTGTGCCTTCTGCAAGACCACAGCTCCATGATCTGTAAACGGCAAATGGAAACAAAGCCAGCAAGTGGCCATAGTGGAAAAGGAAGCATGAATGATGAGTTCCTGCAAGGGCTACAGGCTGTGAGCAAGAGGAAGGAGAGCTGGGGTTCAGAGGCACCCAGTCCTGTGGCTCCCTTGCAGTAGCCCCAGGAGGGGAGTTTCGGGGGCCTCATTCACCTGTCCCAGGTGAGAATTTACCAAGCATGTTGGGTCATGGAGCACTGAGTGGCCTGACTAGGGTCCCAGGCCCAAGCATTGCCTTGCTGACTCCTCCCATAATCGTGTAATGAGGCCTGGTCATGCACACCTGTAATCCTAGCACTTGGGGGGCTCAAGGCCAGCCTGGACTACATAGCAAGACCCAGTCTCAAACACTGAAAGAAAAGTGAGTTTGCCCTCCCGAGCTGACAAGGCGGGCAAGCCTTGGCTCATTTTACACAAGAGATGCTGACTAAAGGTTGGGTAACACTCAGCCAGTGGGTAGTGGGTGGCCCTTCCGCTACACCCCACTGCCATTCCTTAAAAGGTACCCTTCCCAAGCACTTTCTACATGCATTACCTCATTTAATTCCACTCTTGTGAGGCAAGTATTATTTCCATATTATAAGTGAAACCGGTTCAGAGAAATTGACTTGCCCAAGGTCACATCTAAAGGCACCCTTGCTAAATATGAACCCGGGTCGGGGTCCCCCTTCACCTTTGAGGGTATGGGAAGCTGGCAGAGACCTGGGGCCACCAGCAGGGCCTCCTCACTGTCCTGAGCTCCCTGCCCCTAAAAGGTGCCTCACCAGGTGAGGGGAGCCTGAAGCCAGGACCTCAGCTGTCTCAGGTCAGCAGTCTGTCACTGAGGCTGCTGCCGGCTGAGTCACTGGCTGCAAGCAGAGTGCACAGGGTAATGCTAATTCCACAACGCTGACCTCACTGAGGCTACACTGGCTCTGTCAGCAACCTCGAGGTGGCCTTGAGTGCCTTGTGGGGCTCTAGGACCGGAATGGGGGACACATCTGCAGGGACATTGCAGACAGCTGCTTAATGTCTCTCACGCCCAATGGGGAAGCCCACAAAGCGGGCAAGGCTGCAAAGCATCCTGGGATGTAGCCTACCGCCATTATGCTCCCGGCACCCAGTTAACCCAGCATTTGGAGTGAACGTTGTGTCGTCACTACCATGGCTCCCTTCTAAATGTGCAAAACAGGAGAGAGGCTGGCCACTCCTACAAGGAGTTTAAGTGCCAAAGACCCCAGAGCAAAGACTTGTGTGGCTCTTGAGCAGCTGTCAGGGAGGGGGAGACTTGCTGAGTCCCATCAGATGCCTTTGTGTAGGGCTAGGTTTCAAACCCAAGTACCCTGGTTTTTGCCGCCCTAAGCAACAGTGAGGCGCACACGGCCCTTCCTGCCCTTGGCTGCAGGAGAGACAAATGCAAAGGGTGGATTCCGGGTCCAGGGTCTGTGGGGTCAAGAGGATGTTGCTGCTGCTGTCATCACTGCCCTGCCCAGCAGTCCCTGTCCAGCACAATGCCCCCCTCACCACCCGGGGACAGTTTTTCTGGAAAGGAGGCAGTTCTGGGCAGGAACCACATCAGAAATCCCTTGTGTGCACCCTGGGCTGGAAAGGGCCTGAAAACAATGCTGGGCCACATCCTCAGTGGGCAGGATGCTGCTGAGGTCCATGGCAGCACAGGAAATCTGGGCAGAAACAATCAGATCTGGGATCCTGCCCTGGCACCTGCTGGTTGTGTGACCTCATGCAAGCTGCTCAGTTTTTACATTGCTAAAGTGGGGGTGATGTTGGGGGCTCACACCCGCAGAGTGCATGTTACCTGTGTGATCTCACCAAGTCTTCACCACAACCTCCAAAGGCAGGGGCTGCTGTTGGACCATTTTACAGATGAGGAAAATCGAGGCTCTGAGAGCTAATTTGGCATGAAGGAGTCTCAGAGCTTGGGTTCCAACCCAGATGTGTTTGAACCCAAAATTAGTTTCTTACCTGCTAGCCAGACTGCTTGCCTTCTGGGCCAAGTTTTTTCACCAATCAGCCCCAGCTGCACCTCCTTCGAATTAGGCCCTGAGGAGGATTAAGTGACACAGCAAGTGGCAGCACTCTGCCACCCAGGAGGGTGAGGGGGAGCAGGACATGTGTCAGCCGCTTTACTTCCCTGCCCAGCTCTATTGCTCTAAGCTGCAGCTCAAACAGGAAACACCAGTTTCCCAAGATAAGGCCCCAGCACCCATGGTCAGGACAGTGGCCGAGTACCAGGCTTACATTGGGCCTGGTGTGCCAGCCCTAGCCCCTGCCACTGCCCCCTCCCTCTAGGCTTGGACAGCCCTGGGGAGCCAGAGGTGGTGACCTCACCCTTGGAGAATGCCTACTGGAATTCACCCTGAGTCCTGGTTCTCCGCCTCCAGCCACTTCTGATTGCCTCTCTCTGGGGCCAATGCTATGTCTCCGTGAGCTTGACACCCTGCCTGCTATGCAGCTGCTGTGTACTAACTGGACTAACCGTGGCTGCCTAGGGGTGAGCGTATTGGGTGGCCTATTGCCCCCTGTGTTTTCTATAACTTCTGTTCCCATCTCCCATAAGAGGAGCCCAAGACCCAGAGAGGTGGGGAGAGCTGCCTAGAGCCACACCCAGGGAATGGGCTTAGGATGGCTTAGCCCTTGGCCCCAGGAGGCTCAAAGGACCCTTCTTATCATGCCAAATAGGGGATCCCACATCCCAGAAAGAAGCAGGAGCTTCCCTTCACTCAGGACCTCTTCCTAAGGCAAGAATATCCTCCCCACCCAGACAAGACGGCTTTGGCCAGCACATTCGTAAGCGCCTCTCCATGCTGTGGTGGTAGGAATTAGAGGGGGCACAGCCCCTCCAAGAAGTAAAGCTGGGATGTGGGAGGCTAAGTGTGCGAGGCTTCCCCAAGGGCTGGAGGCAGCCTCAGAGAGGCTACATCTACCCAGCTCCAGTGCTGGTCCCCTCCCTCACTGGCACGGCCTGTACTCTTTGTCTCTCCAGTAGGACAGACCCCTCTCATGGTAGAGAGACCAACACGAGACACTACTTGCATGGGCAGAGCATAATGCACTGATGTGGCGAGCGCCTATGAAAAGTTCTGTGATCACTGTGTGGCAGGCATGTGCATTCGTTTGATGCTGTGACATAATAGCCCAGGTGGAACTTAAGCAACAGAAATGTGTTCTCTCAAAGTTTGGAGGCTGGAAGTCCAAGGTCAGGTGGGCAGCGTTGATTTCTCCTGAGGCCTCTGTCCTCAGCTTGTGGACAGCCACCTACTCTCTCTCTGTCCCAGGTGGCATGTCCCTCTGTCGTGTCCCCTTATGTATCCAAAAGTCCCCTTCTTATAAAGGTCGTCCATCAGATCAGATTAGGACCCACCCTACTAGTCTCATTTTAACATAATCTCTTCAAAACCTGTCTCCAAATATTGTCACATTCTGATGTACAGAGTGCTGGGGCTTCAACCCCCTGAGGGGGCCACAAGTCAGCTCATGCCAGCACATTGCATAATTTAACAATAAAGTTGTCATATAGATTGCTGGGCCAGTTCCAGAAACTCTAGTATATTAATCTGTTTTGTTTTGCTTTTGTCCTAGAGATGGTTCTGAGGACCTTCACATTGAACTACATCTCTAGCCCTTTTCTTATTTTTTATTTTGAGACAAAGTCTTGCTAAGTCACTCAGTTGCCCTGACTGTGTTCAAATTTACAGTCTTCCTGCCTCAGCCTCCCTGAGTGCTGGGATTACAGGTGTGCACACTGAACTCATAAACTGAGGAGGTAGGTCCTGAAATCAATTCCAGTTTATGATGAGGAAATCATGTGATACAGGGGAAATAACATAACTCTCAACCTGTTAGGGGTCAGACAGAATGAGTTTGTGTTCCCCAAAATCAAAGACTGAATTCCAAGGAACTGAGGTTAAGAGTAGGACAAATTTATTTATTTATTTATTTATTTATTTATTTATTTATTTATTTCTGGTTTTTTGAGGCAGGGTCTCACTATGTAGTTGAAACTGATCTGGAACT